TATCTGTAACTTAAGACTAAAAGCAGTTTGAGTTCGAAATACTTCCATAGATAAAATTTATAAACATACTAAATGTATATCTGTTACAATCAATCTAGAGTATTTGTGTAAAACATAAAAATGCTAATAAGAAGAATTTTAACAAACTAAATAGAATGTTCCGAAACTAAACACTCATCTGCAATTAGTAGCTCATCCACTACGAATACCTTTTGCAGAAGCTCACGTCATTTTTCTTTGTCCCACATGCCAATCTCATGTGCTCACAAAAAATACATAACCTTGTTTTGGTTTAGCCACGCTCACCGCCTCCTAAACCAACTCATACAGAGACCACAGAGTCGACATAGCTTAATGAAGTCGTTTTGTGTTTCACTTTAGCGGCAAAAGCAATAAATTCACTTTGTGCGCTGCGTCGCACCCGCTGCCCCCGCCGTCGTCTGTTTCTCCCGCTGTGCAGTGCAATGTGGCGTTTTTTATACCCTTGTCTGCCCTGGAGTAATGCGAGTGCCCGGAATGCAGCAGAAGGAGCAGCGCCCTGGTGCTGCGGGTCGCCAGCTGAATCGAAGTCGTCTGGAGGAAAGTGAAATTCCTGGAACACAGTAGCACACGCGCCCGGGCGAATATTTCATATGGTTGCGTCAGGGGAATAGGTGGTGGGTGGCAGAGGGGGGGCGGGGGGATTTGAGGAACAGGAACTTGGCAATGCTGACTGCTACTGACGATTGTTGTGCGTCTGATTTGCACGGAAGTCACTTGAATTATTGTTGCCATTTTTACACAAACGATTCGCCTTTCAGTTTAAAAAGAATGAAAGCTTGGGCAGGGAAAATAGCTTTAAAAGGAGCGTTACGTTCTACACGTCTTAAGTATTTTGGATTTCTTTAAAATATGCTTCGTGCAATTTTAAAATATATTTGTTGAATTTAAAATTTTATTTTAAAATATTTAGTTGAAATATAATTCTTAAGAACTTGTATAGTTTACTCAAACGTTTTAAATTTACAAACATTCTCTTGCACTTTTAGTATTTATGGAAGTCGAATTTTAGCAAATCTAACAAGAGAACCAAGAGTCCAACGCACAAAAAGAGTAAAAACACGTAAATTTAATGTTATAACTGAAGAATATTTAAGGTGTAGCAGCTCACGAACGGCATGGGACAGACGCCTGCAAACAAATCTGCCAAAATTATCCTGACAACTTTTTACATGTGTCTAAAGGAAGCAATCAATATTATTGGAGCAAAGAGCCGGACGGGCAAAGGGGCTCAGCTTTGATTTATAAGCTTTATTGAAGGCCATCAGCGGCTGCGTTGTCGTCGCCGCATGTAAGTCATTAAAGTTGATTGCACGAATAGAATGAGAGAGCAGCGTTTGCTTAAAGCCACCGAAAATGCAATACCCTAAACAACACAGGTTGATCGTTGGCAGCTTATCTGCTAATAAATACAAATTGGATTTCCGATTAAACAACCTGAGAATTGTTAAGCCTCCATTGAAAAACGCATCTTAAGTATGGCTTAAGTATGTTAATTCTTAAAATATGAATTTTGTACTTATTCTTTTTAATTTTTGTAACACTAAAACTCCAATTCTAAATTCTAAGATAATTTATATTCATATAGTTGGCATGAAACAAGATGGTATCATCCAGCATCCAGCTGACAGTTGAACATATTATTTGAAGGTCGCGAATATATTAACTAAATGAGTTCTTCATTATGTTGCAAATATTATAGCATACCTTGTGTTAGAGTATAAAAAAGCCTGCAGGCTGTCGCTAAAAAGACGTATTTTCTGAAGGTGTCAACTTGACGACAATTTACGCAAAAGCCAAACAAGTGAGTAACAAATTCGTGACATTTAGCGACAAAGTTTTTTGTTACAAATTCTTTTTCTTATGTTTATATTATATATACATATGACTTGAGCTGATCAGGCTCTGTTTGTCTGGAAAAGTGAAAAAAGAATGCAGACTTAAAAAGCATATTAAATTGAAATGAGCACACACTCCACAAGACAGCAGACATCAGGCTGCCCCCTACATCATCATCAACAGCCAGCGGAACATCATCATCAGCATTTGCTGTCAGTTGCATTTACAAAAATTATGAAAATTTTCTTTTAAAATGCCGTTGACACTTTTACTGAAATGCAAAATTGTGCCTGCGGCAGTGTCTGATATGCAGATAGCAAGACACAGATATAAAGAGAAAGAGACAGAACGAGAGCGAAAGAGAGAGCGTATCAGAAAAAGTGACACATGCACAGGCATAAATTTTCACACCTTTGCGAGAGTGCAGCGAGTATGTGTGTGTTTGTGTGTGTCTGAGCGTATGCGTGAGTGTGTCTATGGGCAGTCAGTTGAGCGGCAGCTTGGACAGTTGGTTCATCAGTTGACTTGGCAAATGTGTGTAATGTATCTTCTGAATATATCCCAGTTTAGATTCATGTGCCAGGCTCAAGGAGGATAGCTGCACTGTATTTGTCAGTGTCTAACTTTTAAGTATACGTAAAACTATTTTAGTTTTATTTAATTTTGTTTTGTTGAAAAAAAGAATAAGTACGCTACTCTTGAATGCCACTTAAATATTAATTTTAACTCACAACGTAATTTTCTCATTTTTTAACTTTAACATAAAATGTTTTTTTTTTTTAACTTGTATTAGATCATAAATGCTTTTGTTTACACTTTTCTCAAAACAATTTAAAGAAATGTTCCCATTTCAATTTGCACATTTGCTCTAGTTAAATAACTTATTTTTTGCTTAGTAGTAGTTCGCTTTTTGAAAGGTATATTTCATAATTATTCTGTCAACGAACGCCAATAAAAAAATCTAGCAAATTGCATTATATATTCATGACCTTAAATAACACGAAGGACATGTGATAAGCTGGCAGATGGAGCTCAATGAACTCTCTGGCTTTGTCTCTAATTGTTTTATTATCAGAGCTTAGATGCAATTAGCGTTGTGTCTTCAACTCAGTTGTTGGAGTTGCAGTTTTTGGATGCTGGCCAAATGGCTGCGTGGCTGAAGCATGGCTTAAAAGCATCATTTTATATGGGCTAATGGCCAATTATTGTGGTTTATCTGAAGTTCCAGTCAACTAGTTGCGGCCACATACATACAAATAAAGTGGATTTTACCCGAACAAAGTTTCAGTGGTTGTCAGACAAAGTACGGCATGACGAATAAGAATGTGAAAAAGAGAATAAGTACAATAGAGAGGTTTTATACTTGCTTGGCGAAAACATTTTATTGCGATAGATAATAAGACAAGCAAATTGAAATAGGTACCATCAGTATCAGAAAAAATGGAGACAATTTTGTAAGCTCGTCCAGTACACATACTAAAAATCTCAATATTGTATATAACAAAGACTGACTGAAATTCTCGCATGTCTGGAATAATCGCATAAAGCGTTCATGTTAAACATTTTTGTTTACCATTTGATCAGACCCAAACCCGAAATTTCCCGCTCCCATAACTCCGTGAAAAATCAAGCGAATTTTAGAACGTTAAGTTTTTAGTTTGACTTGGCTTGATCTCAAGTTCATTTTGGCATTTAAATTTGCCAACATAATTCTAGGTTGAAATTCATGTAAGAATGGTAAAATCAACGTACCTCGGGCAAAGCCGGCGAATACTATTATTATATAAGTGGAATATAAAAAATGTTTTCATTTCACAATTTAAATGTTACCTTCAAAATTATAACAAAAATGCAAATAATAATAAAAATAAAGGCTTACAATTTTTTCACTCGCACTTAATTTGAATACATTCTCTCTTCAGTGAATACAAGAAGCTTAATTATTCAGACCACGTTAGGGGCATGTGTAGCTCTGTAGAAAGGAGAGCGAAAGCGAGTTCGACTCCTTGCGTTTTTACTCTTATACCAATTTGAACAACACTTCATTCAATCATTGAAGTGTTCGCTTAACTTTTTTTTTAATTTCAAGGAGATTGATACAAAAATTAAAATGCAGAGTATTTCATCATTCATCAAAATTGTCGTTAAATTTTAAGCATAATATTGCACCATGTGATTAACAGGATTTGGTAGGGTAAAAACCAAACAGTTCTTAGATTTTCCTGAAGTTAACTAGCATTAGATTTATATATATGTCCAGCTCGACCACAGTTGATTGATTCACAGGATATGTTTTGCTAATCTCCTGGCAGTCAGGCATAAATATTCGTATAATTTAGACATATGCTCAACTGGCCGGAAATGTCTCAGCTGTCGCTGCCAGGTAATTGATAATTTCTTTTGTTATTAACATATTGCCTGAAGCATGCGAGTTTCTTTTTTGCTCTTAACAAGTAGCTTATTTCACGCCTAAAAGGCCGACAGCAAACGAGTACATTAAGCAGTCAAGGCACGTACGCAGCAGCCAAGCAAACGAGACGAGGAACCCAGGCAAAAATAATCGACTGCTGCTTTCAGTTTTTTTCTTTTTTTTTTCGTTTTTCTTCTATTTTTTGTTATATATATACATTTTTTTGTCATGCGAAGGTCGCTGCTCCTGTCATTTTATGTGATGCAGTGTAAACAAGAATTTTATAAGCCGCGGATGTGCTTGGTTACGCTATAAGCCGGCAGAGCCTGAATAGTCAGGGCTCTATGTTCTGGTCGCATCATTATGTCAGCACAAAGGACTGGAAACTAAATTGCACTTTAAGCAGCCATTAAACATGAAGCATATGCAGCATATGTGAAATGTCGCTTGCACTATGTGCTAATTATTTATTTATGTGTCTTGAAATACCCTCACACACACACACACACACACACACACACACACACACACACACACCCTCCTAGACACACACCCATGTACACACGAAGCCTTAAAATGCATTGCATACTTTGCGGCGACCCAGCGACAAAATATCTCAAGTACATGAGCAGTTCTCGTCGGTTCGTTGGCAGTTGCCAGCTTTCAGTTTTCGGGTTTTTACATTGAATTTTTAACTGAATTGAATTTTTACCTGCACTGACAGCCATCGATCTGCATCTGGTCATTCAAGTCTGCTGCTCTGGTGTTCCAGCTCAAGGACAGACTCAATCAGTTTCCAATTGACCGTGTAATATGGCCCTTTTTCAGCACTTTGCCCTTCTCAATCCTTCAGGCTCAAGTTTTGCGGCATTTACGTGAGCCATTTATGTCAAAATAACTGGACAACTATCTGAAGTGGCTAAAAGAAGATGGAGTAGCTGTTAGTAATTGGAATAGATAGCTTAACCTATAATATAACTTGACTTAAACCTTTAGCATTAAATTATTTTATTTAATTATTGTAAATTATGCTAATTACCTTTCATATTTATTTGTAACAATAAAATTGGATGTGAATTTCTTACCAATTTTATATTGTTTAGTTGTTATGTTTATATTTATGTGTTATATGCATATATTTATATTTATTTCCATATAAATAATTTTTATATTAGTTTTCAGGTGAATAATGGGCTTTAACTCAACGTAACATACCTAAATGTTATAGTTAAAATAATTGTTAATATAATTTTCATTTCTTGTATGCTTGCACTCTTGTCCAGGCGTATTTCTTGTCTCTGAAGTTCGAAATTCGGCTTTTTGGGCAGTTTTTAATGTGTTAAATTTAAGCAGCTTAATTGACGTAAAGTATGTTCCAATGGCCCCAAATCCCTCAGTTTTAATAAGCGACAATTTTAACTGAGCCGCAGAGCCAAGTCATATAATCGAAATTCTCGCCGAAATGTGGCACATGCATGATAAAATGAGAAAAGGACATTTGCGGCTGAAGTGATGCGAATGCACATGTGAATATAAGTATAAGTAGCAGTATATGTATATGTGTGACTATGAGTATGTGAGAGCTCTCGAATGAATCGTGTGCCAGTTGTCGAATGGATGCATGGTGGAGCGGCTCATCGATGAGTTGCGGAAAAAACATATAACGGATGTATGGCGACTTAATGCCATAGCAGCTGGCACTGAAGTGAAGCAGCAACCTTTCAGTACGACGACTCAATCATGCAATTAACATTGACGTTAATTTGCCGGCCGCTCAGCAACATCTTCTGGCAGCGGCCACATGGCGTATACTTCATTTACCAAGCGTAAAGTAAGTACGTTAAAAATGCTCTACCCGAAAATATTTTTCTCGCCAGCCATGTGCAAAATACCGCTGCTGATTTCCCCGCAGGCCAACGGCGAGTAATTAATGCGGCTGTCACACATATGAATATGATTATGCCATATAAATGGCAATGCCATCCGCCATTGAAATTCGAATCGATGAGTATATATCTGACGGCCATAGACATACGACAATCTGGCGAATACATTTCCAGCAAGTAATTGAAAATCGTCAAGGGAAATTGAAAAGAACGTGAACAGAAATTGAATGGCATCAAATGCGAATACCTATGTGTACATGTTTATGTTATGACGAAGTGATCTTTTGTTATGGGCATATGAAAAAGTAAATCTCATATGCCTCCCCTTAGGCTTGGCGTATATTCGCGTTTCATTAATCCATGTGCAAGACAAGCAATTGAATTGTATTTAAAGTCTATGTTTAACAAATAGTGTTAGTCCTTATACTAAAATGTAATTATCAAATAAATAAATTGGCGCACTTTAAACACAAATTCTTGATAACATTTTCATATATTTTTCAAAGCAAATGTAGTTTCATTTTTAATACCCACACTTTCCACAGTGATTACTTAAAATAAAATTTGACTACTATTGCGCGCATAAAAACCCAAAGAATATCTGACAAATCTCTGACAGTATTTTCCGGAGGTTTTTCATCTTTTTGTCCCATTACATTTCCGTATGTGTGCGTGTGTGTGGCGCGTTTTTGGTTTGTTAGCTGCAAAGTCAATTAGTGTAATTAATTTGACTTCACGCGACCCTTGCACACAGTGCACAGGGCCCATTTATCAGCAAATGCAAAAAAATCGGGCACCAAAAAAACTGCAATCCTTTACACACACTTCCTTTTTATTTTAGCTGTGGGAGTGGTACGAACTTCAAAAGCCACAAAAATGTTGGCACTCCTCCACTGATTGCACAGTCCTCTAGTATTTTTTTGTGCACATTTTTTATGCCAGCCTGTGATTTTCAATCGAATGTGCTACAAATTCCGAAGTTGGCAATTTAAATCACACATTGCGCATACGCCCCGTGTGCCCCGTATGCGAATCTGTGTATGCACTTTAAGATGCTGACATTTTGCAGCACTTCAGTTGATTTACCTGCTCTTCAGTTGTCACTACTTTGAGCCACTGTCAGCCCAAGCCCCAATAAGTGGATTAGCTTTTAAGTTGAATGGCTTATGGACGAGTTAAAAGGGACTGAGCGTGTAGTGGGGTGGCGTGGCCGGATTGGGTTTTGGTTAGAACATTCAACACACCGCATGCGGTAAAATAAGCCCGCCAACGGCAACGGCAACGACACGCATTAAGCGACAGCTAACAGAACTTGTCCACGGGTGGCGCAGGCGGGGCATTGAATGTTGCCGGATTCGTATTCGCACTTGTTAAGCCCCGTTAAGCGTCAAATGTGTCGCGGCTAATGTGTGTTTTATTGGATTTATTGTTTCACGCCAACTTGGCATCTAAAGTCGAAAGCAAAACAGCCGCCATCTACTCCAAAAGTTTCAGAGTTTCTCCACAAAGCACACTTTTTGCTATAGTTTTTAATTTGCTTATTAAGCGCAGAAAGAGACAGGCAGAGTATGTAAGAGAATGGGAGAGAAGACCGGCCAGACAGACTGTGCCAGAAGTTGTGTCCGTCTGTTGTTGAATTACTTCCCGTTTCCTGGGTCTTACATATTGTTTGTCTGATGATTTGCTCAATAAATTATGCAAATTTTAAGTTAAAGTCCACTTGATTTGATGCTTTGCAGTGCGTGAATGTTCCAAACAGGGCGTTGAAGATGACAGCTGAAAGACGTCGACTCCCCAAGTTGAAGTCTCTCCCATTCAAAGCAATTAAAGTAAAAATGCACAATTGGTGATCGCTTAATAAGGAAATTCAATTTTAGTTATTCATGTTGTGCCAGCTTTGCAAATGGACTCTTGAACTTTGGTTAAAAGAGTTCATAAACAGGAAACAGTTTCTGCCCATTGTTGAAAAGATAAAAGACCCAAGCAAAGATGCTTATTCACAAAACTGATTTAAATTTAAGACGTAGAAAGACACTCAGCCACTGAATAAAGTTAAGTTGCTAAATATCATCTTCAATTGCTAAATAATATTTATATTAATTGTTATTGCTGAACACACGGACATTTTTCTATCGTACGATATTATCGCTTAGTTACATTTTAATACATTTTAATACGATACTATTTAGACCTTATATATAGTATAAAAGGGGGAATATATTCTTATATTATTAGAATTTATATTTTTAGTGCCAGGCTTAAATTTTTTCATTATTTGCGTACAAATTTAAATTTTTTTTACCGCAATTTCTTAAAATCTCCTTTTGGCTTGTAGTCTATACCTTCTATTTTAATTCAACCTCATTTTTGCCTTAAACTTAAAACTTAATTTTACTGTCACACAAAGGTCCTATTTCCTATTTCATATGCAACCCCCATTTCAATATGCCAAAACCATCGATGAGCTCAGTTCCTTTGTACTTGGTATTTCATTATGCAGTTCTACAGTCTAATTGCAACGGAGAGGAAAACCAAATTGGCACAAACATAAATACTTAATGCCCAAAGAAAACCCAACAAACCTCGGCCCGTGACTCTCCTCTCCACTTATCTCCTCTCGGAACAACTGGGTTTCAGCTTCTAGTTGAATGCCTGCCAAAGACGAGGGAAAAACCCAACAAAAATTAAGCATCTTAAAAATTTCATAATTTGTCTTGTCATTAAGCGTAACTGGGGCTGAGCTGGATGTTCCGAATTTGTAAAAAGGACTGTGAGGCAACTGGAAACTGGCAACTGGCAACGGGAAACAGGCAACTGCAAGCCGCATGCTGCATGCGGCACAGAGACAATTTCTGTCACTCGTAAATTCTCATGGCGGCAACGAGCCGCCGTCGCATCCTTATTCCTTGATATGTTGCCAAGTGGCAGTCATTGGCTTCGGAGTTGGCTTTTGGATTTAGCTTAACAATTCGCAGATTTACTGCGAATAACCGAACACACAGAAAACCGCGTCACACAATTTATGCATGTCGGAGATTTGAACTTATTTCCCGGTCTCGTTGGCGCCACCAAATGACACGAATGACGCAATTTCTCAGAGTTGCAATCGACAGGATAAATTAAAAAGCAATATTTGAATTTTTCTTAAAAATAAACCAATGAGTGTTGACAAGGGAACAAAAATTACATGATACTGGTTCAAAATCAAATGAATCTAGCGAATTTAAAAGTTCGAATCGACGGGATATAATTTTTATTAAGGTTTACTTTACTTTTTCATTTGCGACTAATAAATATATTAAAAATTCCCAAAACAGACCTCATTTCAGTCCAAGGTACGCAAACTTAAGTTAATATATAATGTTAAGAGCATATTTGCTCCCTCAAAAATGTTGTGTTTCTTTCCAAGCAGTATTATTACCTACTTGGCCGTAAGCTAATATAATTATAAAATTTAAAAGGTAAACAAAATTAATAAATAAAATTTAACATGAAAATCAGATTGATTAATATACCCTAGCTCATGAGCAGTGCTTATTGATTGACCCAACTGGGCAGGCCAGAGACCAGTCGACCGCTGTGTTGATTTATGCGCTATGTTCTCGAAATAATTTAGTAGGCAAGGCCAGAGGGCGAAATGAGTGCTTTCATCATGTTTTAAATGCGCCCGATGAACTGGGCTGAACATTTTCCGACTAGCGCTTAAATTATGCAAGTTAATTTGCAGCTGGCTGGAAAATGATGACAAGAAATTCCCGCACACAGTCCAGCAACTCGGAGGGGGCTAGCCCAGGCAGGCCCTGCCCGGCTTGTGGCCAACAAGAGTTATTTCCCGCAGACCGGAAGTGAAGTCGACATAAATTGCGGCTAGAACTGACGCCTGCCACCTCGCAACCGCCGCTAACCTCGCCCCTGGGAGCAGCTCAGCTGCTTTGGCAGCTGAACCCTGGTTTATTTAATGCAAACAGCAGCCTTCTAAGCGGGGCGGCGGAAATGGCGGGACAACTTGAAGGCGGCCCCTCTAGCTGTTAGC